AAGGATGATGAGCATTTTTTCATATGTTTGCTAGCCATTCATCTGTCTTCTTGAGAGAAGGTTCTGTTCATCTCTCTCCCCCATTGATATATGGGATTGTTGACTTTTTTTCCATGTGGATTAATTTGAGTTCTTTATAGATCTTAGTTATTAAGCTTTTGTCTGATTCAAAATATGCAAATATCCTTTCTCATTGTGTAGGTTGTCTTTTTGTTTTGGTTGTTGTCTCCTTAGCTGTACAGAAGCTTTTCAGTTTAATTAAGTCCCATTTGTTTATTTTGGTTGTTGGTGCAATTGCCACGGCAGTCGTCTTCATAAAGTCTTTTCCTAGGCCAATATTTTCCAGTGTTTTTCTTAGCTTTCTTTGAGAATTTTTATCATTTCATGCCTTAAATTTAAGTTCTTTATCCATCTTGAATCAATTTTTGTGAGCAGATAGAGGTGCGGGTGCAGCTTCAGTTTTTTGCATGTGGATATCCAGTTCTCCCAGCACCATTTATTGAATAGGGAGTCTTTTCTCTAGTGTATGTTTTTGTTTGGTTTATCAAAGACTAGGTGGTTGTAGGTTGTGACTTTCATTTCCTGGTTTTCTATTCAATTCCAAATGTCTATGTCTCTATTTTTGTGCCAGTACCATGCTGTGGCCTTGTAGTACAGCCTAAAATCTGGTATGCTGATGCCCCTGGCTTTATTCTTATTACTAAGAACTGCCTTAGCTATATCAAAATAGTCATACATCATGATCAAGTAGGTTTCATCCCAGGGATGCAAGGCTGGCTTAACATACTCAAGTCCATAAACATTATTCACCATATCAACAGAAGCAAAAACAAAGACCATATGATCCTCTCAATAGATGCAGAAAAAGCATTTGATAAAATCCAGCATCCTTTTCTAATTAGAACACTGCAGAGGATAGGCATAGGTGGCACATTTCTTAAACTGATCAAAGCTCTCTATGACAAACCCACAGCTAATATCTTACTAAATGGAGCTAAACTGAAAGCCTTTCCACTTAGAACTGGAGCCAGACAAGGTTGTTTTCTGTTGCCATTACTATTCAACATAATGCAGAAGTTCTAGCCAATACAATTAGACAACACAAGGAAATAAAGGGCATCCAAATGGGAGCAGAAGAGGTCAAAGTCTCTCTCTTTGCTGATGATATGATCTTATACTTAGAGAACTCCAAAGACTCTACCACAAGACTCCTGGAATTCTTCAAAAAATACAGTAATATCTCAGGATATAAAATCAATGTCCACAAGTCAGCAGCCTTTGGATACAACAACAGCCAAGATGAGAAGCTAATTAAGGACACAACTCCCTTCACCATAGTTTCAAAGAAAATGAAATACCTAGGAATATACCTAGCAAAAGAGGTGAAGGAACTCTATAAAGAGAATTATAAAATCCTAAGAAAGGAAATGGTAGAGAACATTAACAAATGGAAGAACATACCATTCTCATAGCTGGGAAGAACCAACATTGTTAAAATGTCTATACTTGCCAGAGCAATCGACCATATCAATGCCATCCCTATTAAAATACCTACATGGGAAAAAGGATTCTGCGTTTTGTATGGAATCGGAAAAAAAATTAAAATTTCAAATGTGGATATCCACAGCAATCTAGTTAAAGAAGGATTTTTATTCCTGGTCCTAATAGCAGAATTTTCTGCTTGCCCAATAGATAAAATTCAGAGAATATGCCCTTGCCACTTAAGCTTTCAATTAGCAATCCCTGCACTTTACTTCAGAGACTGGAAAGAGCTGTATTCAACAGACTTCCCATTTTCCCCAAATATTAAAATTTCATAGGAAAATAAAGGGTCTCACTGGGGATGCATAATGCAAAGTCACAAAGCAAAAACAAACACCCACAAACAAAAGAACAGACATAAAAAGCCTTACAGAGAGGGTAGTCACAGCTATGTAAAGGTGAATAGGAGAATAACTGCCCCAGTTTTCATTCTGCTAAACTGACTTAACTTAGAACTGTTCAACTTGTGTCTTTGACAAGCTTCAGTTGTCCACTGCAGCAACTGGCATGATAATGAATTCTTTATCAGATCCTTCCCTTTTCTAGCTTGCTTCTTCACTTTCTCATGAGTGTGTCGGGTGATCACCTCCCAAATAAGCTACTTACACTAAACCGCTGCCTTCAATTCGGCTTCTGGGGAAACCCAAATAAAGATGCAGCCTCAATATCTTTCTATTCCATACTGTCTCTTCCCTTCTCCTTCCTCCTCAGAAGCACACTCTGTGCTCCCAACCTCTGTACAGCACTGAATGCTCTACCCACTGTCCGGAAAAGCAGCCAGTTCTCCACGTTCTTCGCACACCAGTGCGGGCCCCTCCTGTGTTCAGGCTTTTAGGTCTCTGATCTTTGCTGATAAACCAGACACGTTAATTAGACCATGATGTTCAGATGCAGCCTGTTTTTATAGAAATAACATAGTAGGAGAATCAAAAGAGCTTGTGCTGGGTTTACCATTCACTAATTTGGCGACCACAGTCAAGTAACACTTCAGGCTCAAGTTTTTCACCAATGTGTGAGAAAGTTGTCAAAATCAAAATGGAATCACTAAGGTAAAAAAGAAAAAAAGAAACTAAACAAAACAAAACAAAACAAAAATACCTGACAAGCTGGGGAAGGCCAAGAGAGTTCTCATGCTTATTTGCTTGATAACAAAAACAATTACAAAAGACTCTGCAAAAAACACAACTTTGCATGAAGGCCATCACGATTTTATGTAAAAAATACTTCTGTAAGGACCTATGCCCAGCGACTGCTTGTCCAGTCTTGAACTGGTGTCATCCTCCTTACTGATATTTGTAGCCAAGGAAGACAATGATTTCAAAACGACCAAATAATCCTTCTCATTTTTTTCCCTTTAAAAATCTTCATATTCCTTTAGCTTTCTGAATATGCTCACAATTTACTATGAGATATGTATTCCCATTGCAATGCCCTATTCTCAAATAAATATCTTCTTTCAGAGAGTCTGTTTGTGTTATTTATAATAGGTTGAAATGTGAAATAAAGACAATACTTGGCTGACAATGTTCATGAGTTGAAGGGTATAAAAGTCTTCCAGAATTGGAAAACTTAGGATGAATAGGACACCAGGTTTAAAGCATCTTCCCATTTTAAAAGTTGCCTTCAGTAATGGCGTAGCCTAATATTTCAAAGCTTGGACCTTCAAAATTAGAGAGGTCCTCAGGGATGTGAGTATAAGAGCTATAATGTATTGTTGGTGGGAATAAAAATTTATGTACCTCTTTCTAGAGGGCAACCTGGAAGGATGTAAGCAAGATAAGTACATACACACTTCAGTACTAAATAATTCTAGTCCTGGGTATATATTCCAGGGAAATTTTTACAGAGGTCCACAAGGGGACACACTTAAGGAGTGCATCACAAGTTGGTAGGATAGAGAGAAAAGGCAACCTGAGAGACCAAGCCCAGGTGGGTGAGTAGGTAAAATATGGTGTGCCCCCACCAGCCAGAAGTAATCCTCTAGACATCTACAGAGCATGTGTATGGAACTTGAAAACATAGAGCTGAGTAAGACAAAACAAACAAAGTATAAGCAATATCATTTATTTTCATTAGATATATATGCAGACAAAACAATGTATAGCTTCAAAATATACATGAGCAAAAGACAGACATTAAACACAAAAGAATGTGTGCCTGTAGCAGGAGAAGGGAAGATAGAAACTATTATAAATGATAATCAAACGCCAATCAAGCCTGCCCAGGAGGAGCTCACCCTAACTTAGGATAGCAATCTCCCATGAGCTGGGGAGTGTACCAAGCCAACCTTTCACTCCTGAGGCCTCAGATATATGCATGCCCGACTGGAACAATGATGGAGTAAATGGCTTGATCTTAGAATCCGATTACCCAGATTTGAATGCTGCCTCTACCACTTACTAGTTTGGTTTAACCATCTAGAGGAGCCTATTCTCACAAACCTGAAATTTGGATAATATTTCTTACCTCCCAGGTTCATTGTGAAGGTTGAATTCAGTTCATATAAAGCCCTTGCTGTGGCTCCTGGCTCATGACGAGAGCTCAGTGCATCTTGGAGATCATTATTAGTCCTCTAAAGGAGGTTTCACATAACTTAGCAGGTTGGTGAGGAAGTGTTTTTGTCGGTTTGGGGGAGGAGAGATATGTAGAAAGACTTATAGAGGCTCCTTCACTCCTCTAAAACCAATGGAGGGGGTGATGAGAACTTTGAATTGCCTATTGCCAGCTGATGCCTGATAACAGAACATTCTGAAATAGCTGTTGGAGAATAAGGGAGCCCAGTTGCTCTCCCTAATTTGCCCTGATATTGGGGTGATAAAACAGTGACTGGGGAGCTGTGGCTTAGAACTGGCTCCCGGGGATCATGGGCTGTACTCGAGGGGTGAGGAAAGCACCTCCTTTGCCATCAAGAGTCCATTGTCCGGAATTGCCGTGGGTCCTTCCTTAACGCATATTGTCCTAGGCTACTCAGATGGGCAGACGGAGGAAACCACATACAGGAGGCCAGGACAGACTGCTGGGGAGGTGTGAACAAGGCTGATGTGGCGGCCTCAGGGCCTGCCTCCGAGGGCTCCCAGGACTGTCAGCGCACTGTGGGTTCTTCTGTCATCTCTGTTCCTCTGAGATTATAGGAAGAAATCGATTCTGGAGTAACCTTCACTGGAATCACATGGTGGTGGCAGAGAGAGAGCAGGATCCGAGACACTCCGGGGTCACGGAGCTCATCCTGACATGCAGCCTGGGAAGGCAGCGCGTGGTGGAAGAAACGCCAACTTTCTCTCGTCCGCGATCTCCCCCAGGAATCTCTGAATATTAGTGTCCCCTAAAAGTACTTTTAAAAACTGTTGTGTGTTTTTTTAACATGTAAAAAAAGTAAAGCAAAAGGGAAATAAAACTAGATTTAGCTGGTAATGTATGCATTAAATAAAACTAGTATTGAAAAATAATCACAACCGTTCTTTTGTTCAGCCATGATTCTCCTTTATTGGGCTGCCAAATATAGGGGCGCATTAGTACGCATTAGTATTGCTGTCAGCTTAATAGAAGGCATTAAAGGCTTGAAGGGTGGGGCGAGAAGTGGTGGGTAAATCTCTCCTGTGCCGGGTGTGAGTGGAGTACTGTGATGCTCTATGTCCGCAGCAAACTTTTTAGTTCTTCTGCTGCATTGCAGTTCATAAAGGGAGCGCTCATTCTGAGAAAAACAAAAGTTCCATCTAGCAAGTGGTTAGCACCAGCATTCCATAAAACTTCAGCAGCCTGTCTTCAGCTTCTGCTCCAACTTCATTGCTGCAAAATACGAGAAAATAGTAGGTTGATTGAGATGAATACACTCAGGAAAAAAAATGCCTGAAAACTATACATTAATATTTGAGCAGAACATCTTATATAAAAAGTGGTTGCTGCCATAATAGGGAAAGTGTGGGGTGCTCTGCCCTCAGCAGCTGCTTTCTGTTTGCACTGTGAGTGAGTGGCATAGTAAGAGGTGCAGCTCTAACTTCACTGTCAGATTCTAATCTCATGAGAGCTCAGCTGAGCAGTCTGCTCTCCTCCAAGGAGTCAAGGTGGTTTTGAGGGGCTTGTGCAACCTTAAGGAACAGCACTGCTATATCCCAGGCACGCCCTTCACCCTTCACTGACTTTGCGGCCACTTTACCTTTATTTTAGCATTGGGGCATCTGAAACAAGAAGGCAGAATGAAAAGGGTTTTGATTAAGTCACTGCGTTTGCAAAGTGAAGCATCACAAAAGACAGACTGCAAAGAATCCCTTGTTTTTTCTTCATGTATCGATTTGCTGGAGTTTATAAAGTTGCTGTGTGGTAGGAGAGCGATTCCAATGATTTCTTTATCCACTCCATCTCAGTGTGTTCCTAGGTAATAGGGTTAGACTGTCTGGAACAGATAAGATAAACTTCACAGAGTGGTGGTGGGTGTTAGCGACTGTGAAGACAGGTTAGACACAAGAGGGGGCAAGATGAGGAATTTATTTCTTATATATGACTCTGATGGGATAATGTGATAGAATGACACCAATGGAGGAAATGACCAGAACTTTCATTTCCAGGTGTGAACTCATGGCTGGCAAGGGAGCGTTCTAATATGGCTGGTGGGGGATAAAGATCAGTTGTTATTCTATAACTCTCTCTGCATTGGCCTGGGCCAGACAGTGGGGTGAATAAGCAGGGTCTGACCGAGTTGTGGCTTTAAGTTTGCTATGATTTGAAAAGGGCATGGCACAGCCAAGAAGCTGAGTGGGACAGTGACACATGGAACAGTCTGCGTTATTAGGAGAAAGTGTATTTGGTAGACTAGAAGGAAGAACAAAAAATACACTAAGACAAGGGGGTAGTCTCATTACTACCCCGATTTGTCAGGCCCTAGAAACCCAATGGTCATAAAATAAGAAGTGAGCTGCAGCTCATCATCTGGAATTCTCTGCAGCTTTCTATTGAAAGGAGACAGTGACTCAAAGACATCTCTTCCTTAGCTTGTCTAACAAATAAAAACCACCGTTAATTTGATTTCCCTGAAAGTACTAATATTTACTAGTGAAAATTATGAGAATTTAAATAAATCATCATCATTTGGCTAACACTTGTTAAGTATTATGTATCACATAATCGAAGCACTTTACAGATACTATATTTTTCACCATAATAGCTTGCTTTAACAAAAAACAAAACTCAGGCTCGATAAGGTTAAGTATCACACCCAAGGCCACAGTGCTCCACATTAAACCCCAGTTCACTCCGCATTTTCTCTCTGTTTTTGTTGTTAGTGGAGTCATTACCAGGTTACCTTAGTCACACTAAAACTTGTACTGAGTCTTCTTGGTGAGACAGTCAACTGTCACCAGAGAAGTTTAAACAAAAGATATATCAGGAAACACGCTGGAGATAGGATTATACCATTAAAATAAAACATGGAGCCAAGTGCCCTCTAAGTTCCCTTTCAAATATAAAATGTTATAATTAGATAAATCATGAAATCAGATTGAAGAGGATGAGGTGGTTGATACCCTGGCATCACGCTGGCAAACTTCAGCACACTTTCTCAGCTCTTCCTGAACCCACGGGCAGATCAAAGTAATGTTTGGCGCTACCATTTAGCAGCTGGTTGGAAATGATGTATGATGCTCTGACAGATAGAGCCATCATTTTAGACATTTTATGAAGTTTTCGCTTTGCTTTGCCAATATCAGTATATCGGTAAAGAGCTAACCAACTGGGCAGAGCAGAGCTGATCATTTGAGACACACAGATTATTAAATAAATAAATCCTCCTTTCAGACTAGCACGCTGGCAGTGAAGGCTTTGCGTTTTATCATTTTGCCAATTAGCGACACACTTATTTTAGATATAAGAAAGAATTTAGGAGACTTTGAAAATCTTCATTTTGAACAGAGTCAAATTCAACTGTGGGTAATGAGTGATATTGTCTTGTGAAACTTTAATCCAGTGTTACAGTTTCTTTTTTTTTAAAGAATGTGCTGCGTAAATTGGTTTTTTATTCCCTTTTAGTGTAAAACCAAATAGGCAAACTCTTTCCTGCATAATGAAAGCAAAATGATCTACATATATGTTCTTGTAAATATAAAACCCAGACCTCATGTATCCAGAACGAAAAGCCATTTCCAGAAAATGTATCCCATGACATTATTAAATGCTGCATATTTATTTTTTTAACCCCCGGCTATTTCTAGAGATGAGGGCTTGCTCTGGCTCAGGCTGCTCTCAAGGCAATTCACCTGCCTTGGCCTTTCTGAAAGATTTCAAATGTATTTTGCACATTTATATAACTATTAACTTTAGTACAAAAGCACAAGATCTGGTATAAGAATCTCTTAGGTCAGAACTCTATGCCCTGATTTCCAAATAATTATTAACCCCAATCTGTTTCTCTGGAAAGATTAGAAATAGTCTCCTAAGCCATCACACAGAGGAGTTGTAAGGTCTTTTAACTCCTGACTTCTGCTCAGCTTTAAAGTGACTCATTACAACACTAAACACCTATAAACTGTTGAGTGCCTTTAAAGGGAAGACACCCACACTGTGATACTCCCACCTCTCTTAGAATAGATTTAACTGAGTTCTTAGAAAACAAATGAGACCTCCTTCTTTTTATTGGCTACTTCAGAGTCACACTCTCTCAAAGTTTAGTTCTGATGCTTGCCCACCAAGTTTAAGAATGAATGGTAATTAAGAGGCTTCATTCTCCCTACTGAATAAAGGTTAAGAGGTTTCCCTCCCCCTTATTTTTCTTACAGCATTTGCTTTAGAAAACTAGTCATTGTAAGTGCATCCTCCTGTCTTTGAAATATAGTTAAGTTTTCCCTTTGGAAATGAGGTGAGTATTTTGTCAGACCCAGTAGAGTCCTTCTCAAGGACTTGGGCACCAAAGAAGACAGCATCACTGCCTTCTGGTTTCCAGGGAGGGGAAGACCCCAACTGCAGTTGATACTCGGCTGGCTCCAAGTTGTAAACTACCTCTGGCACTAAATAATGAGAAGCTTATTTTTCCCTTCCCTTGTGTATAGCAGACACAGATGCTCACCTCAAATTCTGGGTGAATTTAGGATTAACTCTGTGTAATAAATGGTGCTGTCAAGTTGTCTTACTCGAGGACAAATTTAATTACTGTTTATCTTAAGAACATACACATAACAGGTGTACCTGCTTGGCTATAGGAAAGGTAAGCGTTTTTTCCTCTCTTTGCAGTCCCTTAGCAGTTTGCCTGAGATATCCATCACGTTTTATTTTAATGTTTATTCAGTAAGAGCTTTTCTTTCACTACTATCTTTGTGAAGAAGACTTCTGAGTTAGCCAAAAGGTATTTAATTGTATTTCCCCAAAACAGGATGGGGGCTTACACCACAGGAAAGTCATTTATTTTGATGGGTTCATTGCTGCCAAATCTGGGGGGTAGGAATATCTTTCTTTTTGTGATTTCTTTATCCACAGGAGTTCCTAGGCAAAGTGGCCATCCATTCAGGAGCCAGTATTAGGTGTCTTTATTTTTATATGACAAATTTACCTTTGCCTTATTTTTATAAGACAAGTATACCCTATTCCTGTAGCCAGTTGTCTACCAAAGCCTACAAATCTTCCTTTAATCAGCAGATAATAGCAATCCAGGTACCAAGTTCTTGCCTGAGATTACAACCTTGAACTCTCAGCACTCTCAGATTCATCAAGGCTTGATTTTGAGAAATAATATTTTTGGGAAAATGTCTGAAGGGAATAGAAAGAGCCGATTCCTCTTGATAATTTTATTTTTACCCTTGATTCAAACCAGAAAATGAGAGTAGCTTCTGTGAACAAGTTACTTCATTTCTCTTTTCTCTCTGGTGAATAAACATAAAGGAACAGGATGGTTGATTTATAAGACTAGAATCACAGGTATCTGTAGAGGTTCTGAAATTCAAAATAAAGTGAACACAAAAAGCTTACGTGCCACCAAAGTGGCCAATCAGTTATCATCACCTTTGTAGGTAAATTGTTCTCTTGCCAACCCTTCAATGTTTATCAAAAATCTGCAAAGAGAAGAAGCAAGAAAACAGGAAAAGAATTTGCTTAGTGTGTGTTTCATGGGCAGCTAGTGAATGATTAGTTCTCAAGTTGTGTTAATAACAACTGAATCTGAAAGGTCAGAGTCAAATACATCTAATCCTCTTCTTACAAACCAACTAACCCTCAAGTTGAAAATAAAATACAGCAGTCCTAGGGCTGCCTGTAGCAAGTCTTGCAAAGAGTAGCAGATCTGTTTATATCTCATTCCCCAGCATGACTTGCACAATTAAGCCTGTGGAAAGGGAAGCGGGTTATAGAATCATTGCAGAAGAAAGAGTTGCTGAGCTCACAAGACGGGATAAATACAGCAGGAATAATTGTTTCTACTAGAATTTAATTTTCTCCTGGGTAACTCAACTCAGAAATCATCTGTCTCAGGCAGGGAGATGCTCTCCTGTGTGATGTTAATACTCGCCTACTTGGAGATTACTGCATTGGTGTGAACAGGGAAAATCTACAAAAGTGCTATCACTGGAAAATTGATCAGTCAGAGGATGCATTAGACAAATAGATTATTTAGGGATCTCTTCTGCTTATATGAGGGTTCACCTGTGACCAAGTATCTTGAGTGTCATATAAAGTACAAATAAAACATTATTTGGAATTTGGCACTAATTCCCCAGACTCAGCTGGTATATGTGTACACATACCAAATACTATTCCAACCCCAGCCTGAGCAGTTTCTAAACCTTGAGTAGTATGTCCGGGAAAACATAAAT